GGTTTTAGCTAGAGTCAATTTCAACTTCGCGGCGAAGGATATTGAACTCAAAGCGACACAATTTGCTCGAGAGTAGATTTCAACTTCACGACGGAGAATATCTAACTCGAAGCCAAACTTCACAATAAAGGGGTCCTCTATGGTTTCAACTTCACGGCGAAGGGAATCGTGTCCACCCGTAACATACAATACTTGGATTTCAACTTCACGACGAAGGATATTCAAGTCAAGGCTCAACTTCACAACGAAAGAGCCATCCGCGATTTCAACTCCACGACAGAGGATATCGTACCCGCACATCCACGATTTCAACTCCGCGATGGAGGATATCGTGCCATTTGAGGCTCAACTTCACGACGAAGGGGCTTCCCAGTTTCAGAGCCAATTTCAACTTCACAGCGAGGGATATTGGACTCAAGACAACACAAGCTCAACTTCACAACGAAGGGGCGACTGATTGTCAAAAACAACTTTTCAGTTTCATTCAGAGTCAATTTCAACTTCACAGTGAAGGATATTGAACTTGAGACAACACAATCTCAACTTCACAACGAAGGGGCGGCTGACTGTCAACAAACAATTTCCAGTTCCAGAGCCAATTTCAACTTCACGACGGAGGATATTGGACTCGGAACAATACTACCCACTTGGATTTCAACTTCACGATGAAGGATATCCAATTACCATACTCAACTTCACGACAAAGGGGCCACCCGCGGTTTCAACTTCACGACGAAAGGGAATTGTGCACACCAGCAACATCCATCTCTAGATTGGATTTCAACTTCATGACGAAGGATATCCAACTCAAAGAAGGGTTATCTATCACCAAAGACCTTCGAGTTCGATTGCATTCAACTCAGAGGTAAATCAAATTTACAGCATAGCTCAAGGCAAGAAGGGCTATCTGTCAACGAAAATTGTCGAGTTCGATTCCATTCAGCTCGATGACACCTCAATCACACTATTGTCCGGCTACAATCGAGGTTTTCAAGCCGAGAAGAAGATCAAGTTTAGCCATGCCTTAGTAGCAAGAAGCCTTTTTTCTATCAGTATAGCTTAAGCTGAGAAAAGTTATCTGTCAATGAAGACTTTTAGAGTTCGGTTTCATTTAGCTCGAGAGCATATCAACCACATTGTGGAGTCAAGAGATTACTTTTTAGTCGAATTTTTAGCCAAGGTCTTTAAACCGAGAAGAAGACCAAAGTGGACTACAACGAGAAGCCACATTCTGATTCAAATCATTTCAAGATGGACTCGACTTCGCGACGGAGGAGCCATCCGCAACTCAGTTCGACAGGGAGTTATTCTTCAACTCCACTGAACGAAAATTTGTTTCTTTTTATCTTTGTCCTATTTTTCGTTCCACGAAAAAGGACAAAGAAGGGCAGTTGTTGACACCCATTTTCTTAAAAGATAGAACTAGCAAGAGTTTATCTCCTAAGAGGATACTTCCACCACCATATCTCTTAAAGCAACAACCACACCAACAAACGTGCAACAACCGAGCAATGAGTCTAGCTACATTAGGATTTATTGTTAATAGGATTCTAAAAATAGTTAGTTTTTTTTTCACTATAAATACATGTAATCCTCCCCATTTTAAGACGGATTTACATACAAGATACAAAGGAAAGCACGAAAAAATACAAAGGCAAAGCTATTGTAAACGATTCGAAAAGGAAATAAAAGGTAGCATCTTTTTTACATTGATTCGTTCATTTATCGCATGTGCATGTTATTTTTCTTGAGATTTGGTTTGAATAACCCAAAGCGTGGGTTGCGCCGATGACCAAAAAGGGGTGGGGTTTCGAAGTTTCGAACCTAAATCTACTTCTGAGGCATGTTCATTTTTTAAAGTATTTAATATTCCCCCTCTGTCAATCTTAATCTTTAATTTACCTTGAAATTTACCCTTTAATTTTACTTTCATATTAATTTCGTCCCCTATATATATATTTTTAATTATATTTTTTATTTATTTACTATATTCCTTTTTTTATTTATATTATTTTATTTTTATTATATATATCTTATATCATTATATATATATATATATATATATATGTATAGATGTATTAATTTTTCTCCATTTACTATATATATATTTTTTCTTAATATTATATTTTATACGTTTTTATATATATTTTCTTAATATTCTATTTTTATTTATTTATATATATTATATTTTTACTTTATTTTATTTTTTCTATTATTTTTTTCTTAATATCATGTATATCTTTATTTTTTATTTGTTTTACTTAGTATTATATATTTATTATTTTTACTTGTTTTAGTAAATATTACTTTATATGTACATATTATTTTTATTCTTTTTTAATTTCTTTTACCTTTTTTTATTTTTTTACTTCATTAATTTTTTTCCTTTATCTTTGTCTTTGTTTTTTAATATTTTATTCATTTTGTTTATTTTTATTATTTTTTACGTGTTTTATTATTTTTTATTTTTCTTGTTTTATTTATTATTCTCACGTTTGCACACTTGCTATCCTAATTCGATTTTATATTCCGCTACGAATCTAACGTTTTTATCTTTTAAGGGTATTCAAATCAATCAATTGTAAGTAATTTGAATCGGGTTTGTTAAATTTTAATTTAAATTTTGAATTTTCGCAACTAAGACAATCGGAAAATTAATTGGTACCGAAAGGGCGGTTCAAGGGTGCTAATCCTTCCTTGACCGTAACCGACTCCCGAACCCAACACATTTCTGGTAAAAACACAGATCAGGTAAGATGGTGTCCGACCCACCTAAATTCGTTTTAAAATGGTCGGTGGCGACTCCAATCCACATTTTTCAAGTCGAAGCCCAATTCCGAGGCCCAACCGAAAGACGGTTACGACAGGGCCCACCCGAAAGACGGTTCCAATAATTCACAAACCTTTAAATTATTTGTTTTGTAATTTATTTTTGTTTATAAAATAATATTACTATCACAATTATCAAATAAGTACTACAAGGGAGATGATTAAAATGATTTTTTCTCGATCTGGATGAACTTATCAACTTAGACCTTGTTAATAATTTAATCACTTAGTGATTGAAATAAAAATATCTTTTTAATAACGATATTTAAAATAAGGGGTAAATTACACAAATCATCACTGAACTTTACTATATCTCCTATTTCATTCATTGTACTTTAAATTCGTTCAATTTCTTCACTGAATTTAATACAATTAACATTTTTGGTCACTCAACTGTTAAATATTTAACGACGTTGAAATGACGTCGTTTTAGAAAAACAAAATTTTCACTAAAAAGATATCGTTTTGTATTTATATAACAGCTCATTTATAACGTCGTTTAGTGAGAAAACGATTGAGTGACCAAAAATGCTAATTGTATTAAATTCAGTAAGGAAATTGAACGGATTTAAAGTATAGTGAGTGAAACAGAATAGAGAATAAAGTTCAGTGACGATTGGTGTAATTTACCCTAAAATAAATTGTTTTTGATTTAAGTGATTAAAATGAAAGCCTCCAAAAATTACTTGATCATGGCTCACATGTGTAATTAACTGATATGATGTGAACATACTCTCTGTGGCTGCATGAAACTCCTTAGCCCTGGCTCGTGTGATGGGGCCACTTGGGTATTTCTCCGGGTCTTTGTTATTGTCGATTATATCATTAACCCTAAAAATAAATAGATGTCTTTATTTTATAAGTTGGTAAACTATATGATTAATCATTTTCGTTTAAGTTTTGTATATTTTATCACTTAATTAAAAAAATATAATATTTGGTCACTTTTATTTTTATTTAATTAAGATTTGGTCACTTTCGATTTTATTTAATTAATATGTGATCACTGAGGATTAACTATAATTAAACCTTTAACGGATTGTTGATGTGACATATTAAATTTATAAATTAAAAAATAAACTATACAAATAGTGACTGATGTTTGAGTAAGTTTTTATTTTCCCCATTGAAGTTTCAAAAATGAGAAATTCATGCCAAATGCCCAGGTGCAAACACTGGAGTTAAGCCTCTTTGCCAAAACTGGGTCTGAAATGTTCGTAAACAAATGCATGGCATGAAAGGAAGCTTCACTTTCCCGACAAGTCTCTACCGCTGCATGTACTTTTCTCTTCATGTCAACAGTCCAGAGTGCAGTTAAATCCCTTTGCACTGCAGATGACTAAGGGCGGAAGTATACGGAGGATCATCAGACTCGTTTTCCTTGGATGTTGAATATTATTTGTTAACCAATCAAAAATTTCTGTGCTCTGAACATGAATCGTAGCTCCACCGGGAGGATTAATAAAAACCACATCGAAAATGTTCGGAGGTTGAGAGAATCAGTCACTACGTGAAAAACGATTTTCTCTCACTCTTGCATCACATATATTATTTGTCAGGTATATCACATAAGTCACAAAAATATTTGCCAAATTATAAAATTTTTGGGGTAAATTATATATAAAATCATTGTTCAAATTGATATTTTAGTGACTAATTTGTTGTTTTTAAAATTTTAATAGGAAAAATAAAATATAATCAAATATTAGTGACTATTAGTATAATTTACTTTTTAAATTTTATAGATTTACTGTGTCATCATCAATCCGTAGAAGGTCTAATAATAATTAATCTTTAGAGGCCAACTTTTAATTAAATAAAAATAAAATGAATAAATATTATTTTATTTGAATTTAATAAAATAAATAAATAAAATTTAACGAAAGCGATCAATATCATAAATTTTCTTTTATAAATTTACATTAAGAATTATGTAATAATAATTAAGTTTATTTTATATTAATATTTATGTACCAGAAGTAAGTGGAACCAAGAAAGCCGGGAAAATGAATAGGGGTATAAAGCGAAAAAGAAATTGCACCCATTAAAATGGCAGGGGTTCCTTCCCTCCTTGTCGCGCGAGATCGCCCGATTCATCCTCACTCTCTAAAAACCAAAAAACATAAATAAATAAGGTAAATAAAAACCCCGACATCCAGCGAAAGAAGTCAAGCCACGGACCCCCGAAAACCTGAAGAGGAGTACAAAAGGGGGAAATTATATTGGCTTCGTCCTTCTCCGTCCGAACCCTAGAAGAAGAAAAAACACCTAAAAGTTCCAATTTTCTTCTTCTGCTTGCTTTAGAATTATCTCGAACTTTCTCTGATCTACCATTTCTACCCTTATACTGTCTTCAATTCCTTTCCAATTCCCTTCCCTTCCAACCTTTCTCTCTCGCTCTTCATTTCACTGCTCAATTTCTCTTCTTTTCCTTTTTTTTTGTTTTAAATTTCGCTAGGTTTTGGTTTTTATTTGAATTTGACAATATTTTTGTATTCTTTTTACTGGTAGAGAAGCGTGAGTGAGTTGAATAGAAGAAAAGAAAAAAAAGAAGTTGAATTTTCGCGCTTTGCTTTGCCGTGATCTGAATAGGTACGGTGGCGAACTTGCCATTTCATGTTTGAGGTATCATTGATTTCTTTTGTTTTTCTTTTAACGTTTACTGTTGAAAGTTTGTAATGATAAATGTTGATTGGGGATTTCTCTCTTATTCTTTTTTGTATATACATGTGTGTATAATACATACTTAGAATTCGTGATTTTTGGAGAAATTATCGTTTCGGCATCTGTTCTTCATGTCTTTTCCCCCTGGAGATTATATAAATACTAAGATTCCGAGAAAGAAAATAGTGGAAATGATAAATTGAGAATAATTTAAGTTTGTAATTTGGTGTCTTTTATGTGTAGAAAATAAGTTGGTTATGTGGGAATGAAGAAATATTTGGTAAATTGTTTTAGTGGTTAAAGCGGAGTTAGTAGCAAAGTTAGAGGAAACTATACTAGAAGTCTAGATCTACTTGGAGTTAGAGTGCCATGTATGACGCTAATTTAAGTTTCCTGAACCTTCTATTGTTCGAAAACTTGTTTGACTTATGAACGTTAACTAGGAATTTATAATTTATTCTGAAAGTTACATATGCTATCATTTATCTTTTGGCAATTAATACTAAGGTATGGTCAAAAGTTTAACCGGGGGAATGCAGTTTTTAAAGTTAGTGGGTCGATTTCCTTCTACTGAATCCATATGTTTGAGGTTATTGGTGCTTTGATATGTTCAATGCAAATATTAATCCTGGCTTTGCCTCTATTTTGCTTTTTGATCTAAAAACAAACAGTTAGCTGACTGCCAAGTTGGTTTTCGTCAGATTTACTTCACATATCTTTTACCCAAATGTGCATATCTCTTGTACTAGTGATATGATTGTTTTAATATAAATAGATTGTAGAAAAGATGAGGGAAAAGATATTAATTGCTACATTGGAGAACTATAATTGATTTGAAAGTTAGCATTGGAATTGTAAGCTGCCTGTTAGTTTTACAAGTGTGAAACAGAAGGGCAACAAAGTGTATAAGAGATGTACTTACCATATGTATGCATGCATTTTTAGTTTTAATATGTTATAGCCTTTCTACACTACATAGAATACTGCATGTGAATCTTTGTTTAACCTTTATAGATGTTTTGAGTCGATATTCATGGATATTTTCCCTGACTTTTGACTAAAAATTTGCAGTTTATGATGGTACATATTTCGTGAATCATTAACACATGGATCCTGAAGGCAAGAAATTTGGAGGAGGTAATATTGTTTAGAATGAGGGTTTTTATTGCACTTTCTTTGTTTTCATTGCATTTGTTTTTGGCTTTGTTCAGTCCATTTGAAGTTTTCAGACTAAAAAATTCAGAGTCAATTGTAATTTCATGTAAAGTTCTTTGATAATTAGATTTTTGTTATCATATTTCTTTTTCAACTGACAAGAAACTGTGTATATAAATAAATGTAGGACCAAGAGAACTTAGCGGTGCTGTTGATCTTATAAGTCACTATAAATTATTGCCTCACCAAGACTTCTTCTGCAAGAGACCTCTTCCTGTATCAATCTCAGATACACATTATCTTCATAATGTGGTGGGAGATACTGAAATTAGAAAAGGAAAAGGGATGCAGCTGGATCAGCTTATTCAGAATACATCTCATAACAAAGACGCTAATATCCGTATACAGCCTTTTGACCTTGATATTCTTAAGGAGGCTTTCCAGCTGAGTGAAACCACTCCTGTCGAATTGCCGGCGGTAAGAAATTTACTGCTTTGAGACTACCTATATTTAAGTTTCTTAAGCTAAATGGTGATCCTATATATTGTGCCAACTCGGTAAATTGGTAAAACTTTAATAGTTTATCTGTTGTTTATTTTGTCATTGACAGTATTTTACTTCAATATTCATAGTTGGAGTTAATAACCATTTTGCTTATATGATAGAGTGAGAAAGGGATTCCTACAATTGCTGGGAAATCAAAGAGTAAAGCTAAAGATAAAGATAGAGAGAGGAAGCACAAAAAGCACAAGGACCGAGATAAGGAGAAGGATAAAGAGCATAAGAAGCACAAGCACCGTCATAAAGATAAAGATCGAAGTAAAGATAAAGACAAGGAAAAAAAGAAGGATAAAAGTGGGCATCATGATTCTGGCGCTGATCACTCAAAAAAGCATCATGAAAAGGTTTGAAGTTTGTTACCTCTTGCAGCTATTGCTTGATCACTCGTTTGGCCCCCTTAGGATAGTGGAAAAATCGTTAGTCAAATAGTCATGGCTAGCAGACTAGGATGTTGTGCTCAAGTACATAAAAATCAGTCTGCAAATTTACCCATTCTTTGTTCAATAATTACATTGCTTTTGAGCCAGGCATAAGATATGTTATTTAATATCAGGAAAAATAAGTTTTTCTGCTGATGGCATGAATTCACTACTGTCATCTGGGCCGTTGTTTACATTTTCATCTGAAAGTTTATCAAAAACTTTATTTTGAAATTAAATTAAAATTTAAATGGAATTCCATGTAAGTTCTTTGTGATTTGTATACTTTCAGAAAAGGAAGCACGATGGAGATGAAGATCTTAATGATGTTCAAAGACACAAAAAAAGTAAGGTAATGCACATCATTCTGGATTTTACTCTCGTTTGTTGTTTTTGCAGATATCTTTTGTATTTGTGACACATGCAGAATCAACTCTTCATTTTTTTCCCAGAATCCATAGACCTGGTTTTCTAACTACTGTCCCATTGTGCTAATCAAAGTGCATAATTAATTTGTTGCAGCATAAAAGCTCAAAAATAGATGAAGTTGGTGTAATTAAAGTAGCAGGCTGAAGGGGTGGCTCTATAGTTCTTTTGTCGTCTCAGATGGTTATTAGAGAGTGGGAGGGTTCTTAATGTTCTCTTCTTTGCTTGAGGTGAATGCTGTATCATGCTGTTCTGTTTTTTTTCCTTATTGTAATTTCTTGTTATTCAAAATAGTACCCACTTATCCACTTCTAATCATTTATCAAAATTAAAAAGTTCACTGAAATTTATATATGAATATAACCCTGATCTAGAATGATTTTCTTTGCCTCCCTATAACATTATGTGCTTTATTCTTCTCCTTTCAACTCATGCAACCAAGGTAAAATGAAAAACTAGTTGTGAAACATTGTATGAATGACGTATTAGAGCAGTGCTGTTTGCTGCAGAATGTTCTTATTATAGTTTTTTTAAATTATCTAAAAGGATAATTTTATAGATGTAGCCAAGCAACTGGCTTGATAGGGCATATTGTTCTGAACTTTTTGCCAGTAAAATACGGCAAGTGTGGTAATTTAGTGGATATGCTAAATTAGTGTTTTCTGGATGTTGCCAGACAAACCCTATGGCTGAAAAGGTTGTGAAATGACATTCATTTGTCTTATGCTTAGAATAAATTAGTTAATTAGATACACATTTCAAGTATTTACAATTCTAGTTTTAGGGAAAATGATTCCAATGAGAAAAGATAGTGCAATTATTTGCTTCTTTCTCTTGAATCGATATATTAACATGGTTTATTCTCTAGATAGGATTGAATTCTATCCATGTCTAACAGTTCATTATGTGACATATTATTTTAAAATAAGGCAGACTCTTACTATTATTATAGGGCTTGGGACTGGAGGTGGGGTTGGGAGAAGGGTGTTAAAATGGAAGTTAGATTTTGAAGGTTCTAACTAACACTGTCTCTCTGTCTGGTTTTCGTGCAGAGTAACTTGTAAACTGGGTATAGAATGTGTAGGTGGTGAATTCTTCGTCCATTGATTGATATCTGATGCGAGGTATATGTTGCTGAACATGGTCTTTTTTGTATCATAAGCATTTGCCTATATTTCGCCTATATTTTGCGTGTAACATGCAAAACTTTGATTTTCTGTTTTCTAGCATATTGGATGACTGTGCTGTTCATTCACTCAATTTTATTTAGTTAAAAGTTTTAAAACCCTAGCCCCGGAATGAAATACTATCAGTTTGATTTTAGGGTTGGCAGCTTTTCTTTTGTGGAAAGAGTAGGGTAGATAGGGGATGCTGTTTTACTTTTGTTCCTTCCCTTTTTTGTGGTAATGTCTGCTGTTAAGGCAGTGTCTCATTTGTTTCATTTCATTTTAGTTGCAAATTCTGGTTATAAAATTCATCAAAGATTTGATTAGCTAACATTAAAAAAATTCAAGTAGCTTAGATTCCTGAGATTTGCAGTTTTTTCTTCTTTATGATCACAGTTGTATAAAAAAGTAATGATAAAAACCTAAAACCAAATAAAAAAAATTGATAGTGGTGAAATAAAAGGGTTTAAAAATTGTTGATACAAAGGAGTGGATTGAATGTCAATGATAGTTCACTCGGAGAGCCAAGAGCCGTAAAGAGCATTCACTCGACCCCACAAAGGCATCACACTTCGTGCTGCATGGCTATAGTTGTCCTGTACATAGGTCCTATTAAGTCGTGTCGTTAGCTTTGACTAGGGGATTTGGAGAACACTTTGAAGTCTCCGTTCTACTTTGTTATTCCTTGAGCCCTTTGAAACCGCCTGTCGGCTCTACGACCTTACCGTCCTTTGACCTTCAACCCTCTATTTTTTATCAACCGAAATAATCATTAGAAAAGCTTATGTATCCCTTATATCATATGATACAGTTATTAACCGCCCAAATCTACGGATACGACAAAGAAGTGAAACCCTAGCAAACAGTATGTGAAGTAATATCCAAAATCTGATCTCAACTCAGAATACTCTCCCCCGAGTGTGTGGGGAAAAGTATCATAATTTAAGGATTAGTCGGAAGAAAATGGTAATAAAGAGAAGCGTTTAAATAAATTAAGGGCTTAAGACATGATGAGTGCGGTCATACTAGTACTAATGTCCTGGATCCCGAACTCCGTAGTTAAGTGTGCTTAGGCGAGAGTAATAATAGGATGGGTGACCTCTTAGGAAGTTATTGTGTTGCATTTTTTTTTTGGAATTTTATATTTTATCTTAATTTTTTTTATTCGGGGTGGAACAAGTGAGAAAAGAGTATGAGATCGTAAAATTAAATACTTTAAAGATTTTATGTTTCATCGTCAAAAGAGAAGATATATGATACTTCGGCACTTAAAGGTTAAAGCAGAGGCTGATGCATTAAGCCCCCATGGGGGCCAAGTGTATATCATTATTTTGGGAAAATGATTAAATTTAGTTTAATATGTTAAGGAAAAGGGAATTTTTATTTTTTGCATATCTATTATTTAAAAAAATGGATCTCATTCTTAAATTTTTGGATCTACCGGGTCAAAGTTGCATAAAACGTCAAGGGACTGACAACATGCTTAAAGCACAAAATATGAAATTGTGTAGACTTGTTATAAACATGGATCGAATAAGAGAAGCAGAATTGGGTTATTTTGGCCTATTACCATGGCCTAAAAAAATAAGGGAATTAGGAACGTCAGAAAATTATTTTGGGATTTATGGCATTTTCTACAGTGCAGGGTAAATTCATCACCTTAAAGTGATGAGTTCTATTAAAATATTATTATTATTTAGATTTTAAATTTGAATTGAATATTTAAAAAAACTTTTTAGTTCAAAATATATAGTTGTTTAGATTAGAAAAAGTAGCCGTTGGAACTCGTCACACCCACATGACGAGTTCTAATGTTCATTTTCAAAAATTTTAACTATAAACAGGAGTTGGGCTAGTTGATAAAGTTATACAGAACCAAATCATACATTTGTGGGAAGAGTACTTCATTCAATTTTAGGAAGATCATTTTGGGTATGATTACTCTAATATTGATGATTCAGATTCAAGCTTGTCTTTAGATGAGGAATGGGTGAAAAAATCAATAAAGTCGATTCTTGATTAACATAATAAGACGAAAAGAGAAGAAGAAGAAGAATAAAGACTTACCAAGCTCACGCAGAAAACAACTTATCGAGAGGAACGAGAAAAAGAAAAATAATAATGTAAAAATTTAGAGGAAGAAGAAGAGGAAAATTGTTTATTTTGTTGAAAAAATGTTTTAAATATATGTATGAATTTGAGTTTAGTTAAACGTTATAGCTTGCAATTATATATGTAAAGTAAAAAAGTAAAGATTTTTTATATTGTTAAATTTTCCAAAATAAGTATAACGAAAAACATAGAAATACAATTGCGAAAAGTTTATCGGTCCGCTAGATATTTTGTGAGATGTAGACAATGCTTCCTGTTGTGGCCTTCACCTCTGTAGTGGCCACAAAACTTTGGCAATCCTTGCTTTCATTGAGGATCATCTATATATAAATTTGACTAAATTCAGGACAACCTCTTAACTTCTTTCGTAATTGTGGATTGAGCAACCATTCCTCGAAAACAATTGGTAGTCAATATGCATCGTTTGGGAGGTACTTAAACTTGCAACTATATTGCATATAGTATGCATGTTATGACAATCATCAGCGTATGAGTCTACATTCACATACATACAGTAACCGCGTGAGCGCATGGGTATTTGAAGGCTTGAAATTGACCACAATTACACCATCTTCTATTCAGATTATCAGTGTATGTGGTAGAATTCTCACCCTCATGTGGTCGAACAAGTGCTTGGACAATGTAATCAGGATCCAGTCTGGCGAAATTATGAACATACATTGATGTTGCATGTATTTGATTTTTGTTCATTGCTTTCTCCAAATTTGGAGCCCAATTTCTACCTTCGTTGAGCATTGCCTCTACTTGGGAACATTTGTCTGCCCATACTTCACCCAATCTGAAGCAAGTCTCCCGAACAATACTTGCCACCGGAAGATGTCTAGTTCCTTTTAGCACCGAATTAATACATTCAGCAAATTTGTAGTCATATGCAAGTAATATAGATCTTGATCGTCATATGCAAGTAATATAGATCTTGATCGTCATATGCAAGTAATATAGATCCTGATCATCATATGCTTGTGATCATCTTTCCCAAGGTATATCAGGTGCAAAGTTATAAACGTCTTCTCCATACTTCCTAAAATTTTTCAGTCTTTCACGGAAGTTCAGATACAATAATGCGTAGCCTGAAAAAAGTTATATTTAAGTATAATAATAAATAAAGACCATAAATGAAGGGAAAAAGAATAAGTTACTCATGTTGATAATTTCTTTCTTGATTTTCTTATTCTTAAACCTCGTTATAGCATTGCAAGCAATATGTCGTATGCAATACACAAGATATTCATGCAGAGGCGACCACTTACTTCCTGGTTTTTCAATGTTGCCAACAACCTAGGTGAGTGGTATGAGATCATATAAACCCCATCTTGAGTGACAACATGGGCGTACAAGTTTTACAAAAAGAAATTTCACGTTTCCTCTGACTCATTTTTAACAATGGCAAAGGCAATGTTAAAAATGTTTTTGTCACCATCTTGTGCAACAACTATCATCAGGATGTGTTTTTATATGTCATACAAAAAAGTGTCATCCACTTGAACCATTTATTTACAGTAACAAAAACCTTCAATTGATGACTTGAAAACCCAGAACAAGCCTCCAAAAACTCTTTCCCTAGGATAACATGCCCATCAAATGTGGTCGTAGGATAAGTGTAAGAGCGAACAATGGTTCCTGGGATGAAAACTTTAATTGCGTGCAACAGATGTGAAACCTCATTGTACAATTGATCCCAATCACCATACAATAGTGTTATAGCTTTCCTTTTGGCCATCCGGGATTTGTAATAAGACTAAATATAACCAAATGTATTCCGTATTGATGCCATTATCTTTGAAACCAAGATCTTTGGATTTTTCTCCACCAGAAGCTTCACATATGCATATATGACATTGGAATCTAAGTGTTTGCGGTCTTATGTCAATGAGTTGTACGTGCAACTGTGCTGGTTGTAGAACCTTGTGACTTTTTACAACATCTTTCGTTGTAGGTATGAAACACATATCATCCACTTACAGCCAGCATTGATGTTTATAGTATCCTCCACTTACACATAACATTGTTGTTTATACACCTGACAAAATATATATTCTTATTAAACTCCACAACACTGAATTTCGTATATGCTTTGATACAAAACTCCTTCACTGCTAGTTGGGCATCCTTTTTAGTTTCAAACTATGACCTAACTCCCAACTCCGTTGATCCGTCGTCCGAGGTACCCCAGTGGGTTGCACATATATCAAGAATCTCAGGATTCCTCATGGCGTCATGGTTTTTCTCATGCATTGCAATTGTATGACGATATTAAGGCATATGGGGTTGCGGAATTTCTAGTTGCCTGGTTGTTAGTGGATGTGCATAAACTGGTGGAGCATTCTGTAATACATTACCACGAGAAACCGATGCCTCCCACACATCACCCTCTATATCAAAACCTTGTCCCTCTGAAGCAACTTCGACGATATCAGATTCATCGATTATTGGTGTGTCATCGTCTACCATAAGTAGA